TTCAGAAAAAGCGCTCTTCTTTTTTGGAGGAAGCAACATAAATAAAAATGGCGGATTCAGATTAGAAGCAATTTCAACGTATGAAAAACAAATCTAGTATTGCTACTATTTAAAAACATTGAGAACCGTTATCCATGTGTTTGTTTATAGGAACAAAAACAATGCAGAATGATTCAAGCGGTGTCAAGGTCAAATAATTCTGCATTAAATAAATTGAACCGAACAAGCAAAAATAACTCACACATCTGGTGATCTGACACCTGATTAAAACAACATGGTACAGTAATTATAGAATATTTTGAAGCAGCACGTGTTGCGATATATTACGTGATTTCAGATAGACAGCAAATAGATGTACATCAATAATATTCATGGGAACGATATTTTGATCAGTATAGATATTTACAAAACCCAGAGCCATGAATCACAACTTTCAGAATCACTGGATTTAGCTATTTCAGGAAGAAACATGCCTCGCCTCAGATTTTTCTTATAAACAAATAGTATAAGACAGCCTCCAGGATAAATGATTGGCGATGAATTGATTGAACGCCAGGCTCGAAGAAACTCATATTTCTATCTTAGCCTCGACACAATGTTACATAAGCTTGATTATTAGAGCTATAGGTTTCAACCCTTCCCCGCGTGTTTCAAAATAGTTCAATTTTCAGAACATACTGAATAACAGGATGTTTTCTTAGGTATCATGCCCCATATTCCGTAATGGAATTATTAATAATTTTTCGAAGACATAGCTAGGTTGTGACAGGACAACTAACATATTGCATCCTGCTTAGAAAGTGTTCGCTCCAGGGTAACAAATATTAGAGACTGGTTTGTTAATAAGTCGAATATTACTCATTATAAGGTGCTTTAGATACTAAATGTCAAATATTACGTGTCTTTCTTAAAGGACGTCGAAACGCACTGAACGAAACTGGAGATCGGCCATTGCTTAATGTTGGCAAAAACCATTTTCAATGGTAAGAATAGAGGTTCTTAAATAGAGCATTGGGCTTGCCTCTTAGAACTTTTTATTGGCTCCAATGCTGTATTCAGGTTGAAAAAAATGTGATAAATCATGCCAAACTATATGTGATTACGTAACTTAGCATGACTAATAAAGGAAACTGAAATAATGAAAAAACACACAATAAAAATGAATATTACAATTTATGATTAGGTGATAAGTCGGAGTTACACTAGCACCTAGAAATACGCCACTACTGCATCTCGACTTTCAAGGTGGTTATAACACATTGTGGTTGAAACAACTGAAACCTTGTAAATCAAGGTGCCATGGTTGAGGCCTATGTCTACTTTTTACCCTTATAAAAACGTTTCTGGTTGAATTTCAGGTATTTTCAATAATATTGTTCAAGATGTTTTGCTATGTATCAAAAGAAATTAAGCATAGTCCCAGTTTTAACATATTCGTTTACCCTACTATCACACCAAACTAGTTCTCACTACGTTCTCAAAAACGGGCTTCAACTGTGTACGAACGGACTGGACCTACTAAGAACCGTTTGGGATCTATTAACAAACTTCATCGAACGTACTCGAACGGGTAGGTCCTCTAGAACTTAGACAATGCTCAAAATGTTCTCGTGGTCGTCACGTTCTACAATTAGAACGAGTGACAACGTACTAACGACGAGCTGGACGTACTACGAACGGAACCGTCGTACTTCAATCCTACTAGGGACGTTTTAACAACGAGTTGAATTGTCTGAGGACGTGTTGAGAACGAGGTAGAACTAATTGCAAACGGGTTTAAACTGATTGAGAACGTATTTAACACTGCTTATGAACGAGTTAGCAAAAATATAGCTATCACACCAAACAAGTTGCCACTGCGTTCTTCAAAACTGTGTGCGAACGGAATGAACGTAGCTGCAACTTTCTAAGGTCTATTTACGAACTTTATGATCGTTCTCAGACGGGAATGTGATTTTAGAATTTTGAATCGATTCAAAATTCGATGGCGACCATAACGTTCTGTAAACAGGTCATGTTGACCTTCTAGACTAAGGGACGCGTTCTACTACGTTGCACACCGACGTGGTGCGACCTGAACGAACTGCGAACGAGAAGGACGTATTGAAGACTGTTTAAGAACGAAGAAGCTAATTATTTCAGACATATTTCCCGACCACAGCCAGATTGAGCCCGTTTTACGACGTTTTCGTAGGACTGGCAAGAACGGGTAAGAACGAGTTTGGTGTGATAGGGGGGTTACCAGTTTGATTTTCAGAAAACTTCATACATTGGTAATCCAAAAAGAGTTTTAAACGTGTTGCCATTGAACATATAATCCAATCAAATGTCGACCAAGGTAAGTACGTTTTCTTGATATTGCCTCAGCTTTTGACTGCTAACCTCACCATCTCTTGCTTTACTTAAATAAAAATCATAAACAAGCGTCTAAACCCGCTCAGACCACTGCAAAAGAAATTAAATTGTAATGTCCTTGAATCAATCTTCATGTCTTTCATTCTAGCACTCTTTGAATATTGCGCAATGCTGTATGACTCTCATGTTCGAAGTGTCCTTAATGTATTAAACAAATTATCTTATCAAGCTGTCATTATATGCAGTGGATGCTTGAGTGGTAGTAGTTCAATTGAGGTAAAGAATACTCTCATATGGCCTGATCTAGAAACAAGTTTAGGCGGTCAATGCAAATAAACAAATTTACGTTTAGGATCTCAAACCAAGCTACGTGACAGATAATATCACACCAAGCTCTGTGACAGATATTTTTGAACCTCCGAGAATTCAAAACCCTTTTGAACTTCGAATCAATCTTGAGTTCAAAATATCTGCCAACTTCGTTTGTGCGAATTTCATCTCCCATTGGAATAAGCTACATAAGCATATTCGAGAAAGTAAAACACTTGCCAACTTTTATCATATACAAAAAAGAGAAAATTCCAAAGCCTTACTTTCTACCAACCACTAAATTAAAGTTAACAAAAATCAAACAATGGTTCTTATAGGTTTAGAGTTGACCTTTTCCAAAAATTATATGGCCACTCCTTAACTTATATTTGAACACCTAACTGTATTTGTGATACTCCTGAAACACCCAAACATTTGTTCTTCTATTGTCCAAACATAGCACAAAATAGTTATGTACTTTTCTTGCAATTGTAGAGACTTACAAGCCTACTGCTATAAAGAATTATGATTTATATTTAAACCAATTCATAGATTTTCTGAAATATGGCAGTGCCATGCTATCGCTTGCACAAAATAACGATCTTTTTGGTGTTGTTGCAAACTTTTTGATAAAGAACATGTAACATCAAAATCATATATTTCTATGGGACCCTCCAAGCAAGTACATCTATTCCTACCACTCCCAAGGCTAGCTAGCGAGCAAAATATTTGACATACTTAACATAGGTTCCATCTAAACTGACTATGTCAAACTGAGAAACACATTGTAGGATACAAAATAAATATTCCAAAATACACATTATATTGTGTATATTTCTCAAATCATTGCGCCCAGATTCAAGCTACGATTACTGGGAAGGCTAGGAACGTATGTAAACACGAACAACAGAATCTCAATGCTACAAAATGTCCCTATTGAAGTTCTCTTAAAGAACATTGAATAATGACAACTATTTTACCAATAATGGTTGAGAATTTGTGAAATACAGAACTGAGTAACCAGCCATGCATGTCTGAAAAAAGCAACTGTCTAGACAAGCGACTGACAATGCCTTAACACAAGACCATCATCAGCCTGTTACTAACGTAATCCAGTAAGAGACACGAATGTCCAAAGGATTGGTATCGATATGGTTAACTGAATTGAACACACGTTTTTAAAGTCATCAAAAATTCTGGAAATTTTACATATCGTCAATTTAATGATCAACTTTTGAATAGTAACAATTTAATTTGAAAATATATATATACTTTTTTATATATAGTTTTAGAAACCACACCAGACACTTATATATGTTCAGAATGAAATGAACTCCGAACCTCATTGGAACAAAATGACATATACACAACGTGTATCTTGCTATTGAAATAAAAGGTTAAACTTTAATTTTAATCTATTTTTGGGGAGTTTTGTCTTAATTTTTTGAATACTATATATGTTAAATGAACCAAACATTCCTTTGTATAACGAATGTTGAGAAAATGTTGTATTTGCTATTCTATTCCAATAAGGTCCGGAAGTTATTTTACATCATGGTAGAAATTGGTAGAATGAAACAAAAAATTGCGCTAAAAACAAAATATGTTAAAAAACAGTTATATGAAATATACTATATGAATAATTTTCGGTAAATCATTTCCGCATTAAATTGTTATCAGTCAGAGACCATTACATAAAGAACCATGTTTTTACAGAATGTTTTCACTTATTGGTTTAAAAGAAAAACAAAAGTTGAACTGAATTCAGTCCACCATATCGACACCAATCCTTTGTAAATTGTGTGACGTTTCAAATATATTTACACGATACGAAACATACGATTGCGATAGATCTATTCAAAATCTCAATCGAATGACCCTAGCATATTAAGGTAAAATACAATTAAATAAAATACCAGGGAAATATCGTAAGCAAAATCACAAATCAAATTGTGAAATTATAATTCGCCTTATCAAACTCGATTGCTTATATCACATTAACTTGATACGGACGTTGTTGGATTACGTCTTGACTAGACCACCCTGTGCGCAGAGGCTAGTTGTAAACTAAAGGACGAAGCTCTCTTTTAAGAAGTGAAGTCACAAGAATGCCAAGGGACTCGACTATCGAGTCGGTGTTGTTGTCTCCAACACCAAGTCTAGACAATATCAATGCTAGATACATAACAATTACATAACACAGTTCTCGATTTCTGAATTGAGTGCAAACGTATTATATATAAAATTCACAAGGAATCCACAAAATTATGCAGACTTCACCTCAATTAGCAGTATATCGTACACATGTTCTATGGTAAAATCAATATTGCCCTTACCTTAACCTTGCAAGTTTACCATCCAAACTTCACTTGACGTTTAGGAACATAGCATCTGCAAATACACAGACAAACATGGGGTTAATATCGTATATACATACTGTACAAAAGTCACTGTCCAGTAGATAACTTTGTTTGAACTTAATTTTAACGAAGTCTAACGAAGCAACTTGTACATCTCTTGTGAAAGTAACCAGATAATAGTCATAATCGATTTGTGTAGCATCTCTTTATTTTAAGATCCATTGTTCTTGCATTGAAGATACACTAAGTTGGTATTAAAGCAAGCGCCGTTTCTCGTCTCGGAGCCATTTTTTCTTAAAAGGCGAATGAACTGCATCAATCGTGTCAATAACACATCGCTGCCCTATTATTGGAACTTCCTGATCTATTAATGCCATTCACGTTTCTCTTTCTTCTAGATGGCCAATCGCCTCAATGGGGACCTTATCAAGTTAGTATTCTAAATTAATGTGATTATCTACGTCATTGTAATTTACAGATTGCACAATGGGTTTAATGAAGATAGCCTGTGGATGGTGGAATTACATACAAATTGCAATTTACAGACCACCAAAAGATCATTTCCCCATCTAAAGTCAGCTTAATTTGTACCGCATATACAAGTCAAGATCCTGTGTCACTGACACCAGATCTAATAAACTATTATTTTCCCTTTCCAAATAGACTGATTTTGCGCCTTTAAAAGAGAATTTCATCAACATGTACTAGGTTCTTACCCTCAGGATAATCTATATAATGACCATGAACCGAAATCGTATTTCCTCGTTTCCTTCGCAAGTTGAAATCTTCTGATTATTATTATTATTATTATGTTTATTTTCCCTCCATTCTTGGAGATAATTAATAATATTTGATAAAAAATATATAAAATCATTTAATACATAGTACATAATGAACGCGTTGGACGGATGTCGGCACAAAGTACATTGAAAACATGACCCATCTCTCTACTTAAGGAGACGTCTTCCCCAAGGTCGGCGCTCCTCTTTGTAGAGAGATAAGCCGGCATTCAATCATCATAAAACTTTGTGTCGTATTTATACATATAGTTGTAAAGGATATAGACATTTCATGAATGAATATAGGTGGCAATTACATTACATATTTATCTTCGCCCTTAGCTTTACATCTTATGAATACATGACCCACCGCTCTACTCAAGGAGACGTCTTCCCCAAGGTCGTCGCTCCTTTTCGTAGGGAAGTAGACCCATACTCTACCATCATAAAAATTGTGTCATACTTATTTTGGCAGTAAAATAAAATATTACATGAATGCATATAGGTGCCAATTACATTACATATTATTCTTCGCCTTAGCTTTACATCTTATGAATACACTGGCCATTCATTAATAATATATAGATTTGATGTAATTTTGAATGTGTATAGCAGAATAATCTATACACAGTCTAAACTACTTTAAATGAACATCGATACGTCAATTTAAGTGCAATATAGACGGTGGTATAATCGCAACTCGAGAATAACATCAATTTTGAATATTGTTTTGATGTTCCAAGAATTCGCTGATATTTTGTGAAGACTGTCTTTCTATTTGACCTGTATAAATAACACTAGCGCGCCGCCACAGATTTTGGCTACTCAATTCATTTAACAAGTCTTTAAAATTAGCAAATCCAATTGGATTCCTTTGTCGATCAATATGTATAGCATTTCAAAAGGACAAGACGGAATATAAACATTTTTCATCTTCGGACAAATCTGTAAGATATAATCCCTACATGATTAGTTTGATTAACGAGAACAACTAATATTTCTATTCGTTTTAGATGATAGTTCTGATGGTGAATCAAAATACATGTACCAAATATTTTGTGACAGAAATATACGTACGCAATCATAGGGAGGTTAAATTACACGTTTTTAAGAGAAACTGTACGCGAGGGCGTAATATTTCGATCCCTGCATGGGAATTTCTGTCCCACTCTAAATTTATTTTTCCACAGAGACCTAATAACAATTATTTTCCGTATACTTTCATCCTACCTTTATACTCAATCGGCCATGTAAACAGTACAAATGGGATAATCCACAGAGGACCATAACTCAACACGACAAAGTCATATACGATATCGATCATTGTGGGGCATCATGGTCCGACTATTTCCGGTAAGCAACAAATCATATTTTTGTCATTGGTTCAATGTCACATATGGGTATGCATGATTACTTGTCAATCAAACACCGTTATACTGACTGGGTTATTTCGTTTTATGGCCCATTTTTGATTTTGAAAGAGATATTACTTGTCGCTATAGTATTGTTTCGAAAGCTTCATATCAAATAAAGTTTGATAATCATTCATATTTTTTTTATTTTCTACCCTTCAGGCAAAAAACAATATTAATCTATTTTCTGCAAAATAACAAAACTTTATACAGATGAAGACGAAATGCCAAAACAGCATCCGGGTTATATGGGTCAGATCCAAGGTCATTCTTCTCCTACAAATTCTTCCAATAATAATAACCTATCCGCTAGAACTCAAATAATGGCCTCGATTAATTGTTTAAGCTACTTACCTTCCAAACTCGTTTCCAACTTCACACAATAAATTCGTTGTAATTATGATTTCACTGCTTTTTATAGAATGCTGAGGTTCTTGAGGTTAAACTCATGCTTTAACTACTTTTCTAAATGGTCAGAATGAATCAAAGTTTGAAACTCCAAGCGCAGTTTGCAATCCTCAGTTCCACAGCTCAATGCTTGAATGCAATTTAGAATTGAACAACATGTTTATGCAATGGATAGGTACACAGCTGTCCACTAATAGTTTAATTCAACAAGAATTACCTACAATGGATAGTTTAAGCTTTCTGGAGGAACAAGTTAGTCACACTCGTAGTCATAGTAAGGATGACTACAGTGACAACAAGAGCAATTACATATAATAAGGGAGTTGCTCTAAATATACCAATATAGACATGTTCTAACTTACGTCAAGCCATAAAAGGTGATACATGTTTTAATAAACGTATCCAGGGACGTCTATCTCGAGATACACGTCCTTGACGTATCTGAGTATAAAGTAGAACAAGGATGACAATCTAATATTGTTGACACGTGTGCAGGCCCGTAGCCAGAATTTTCCAAGGGGGGGGTTCGTTTTTCTAAAAAATTCTAGGGGGGGGGTTCACTTTGGCAAATATGGCTAAAAATCACTCAAAAATTAGTCAGAATGGTGAAAAACTGCATGATTTTGAAAGAAATTTTGGCCAGGGGGGGGTTCGCCCGAACCCCCCGAACCACCCCTGGCTACGGGCCTGCGTGTGTGACGTGTCACACTGTCCCTTGGCACTCCCGATCAGCAGGTTAGGGACAATTCCACAGATAAATGCTGTAATGTAATCCAATGTGAAAATATTGAAATCTTTGGATTGATTATGAAAAAACGAGGATTTTCGGTACATAACCCCATATACCACGGGATAGCTCCATATGTCCCCTTTCAAATCAAAACAAAAATTGCATAGAACACCCATTGAGAAAAAAAGATATGACTGCTTTTTCCGCCATCTATCCGAATTTTAAACAATTTTCAATAGATTTCAAACTCAAGACCACCGTCACAAAAAGTCAAATATTTGAAGTGAACCGAATCATTTCGCCATACTTTTTGTGAAATTATATACACACGAGATAAACAAAATAAAATATAAAATCTGTACATTTTCACTGGTGATTGCACTGATAAATATTGATTTCAATCAACCATCATCCCGATTTTAAATTTAGATTTTTTGTCTTCTACCTTTTCACTAGCGCCATCTGTGGAGTTATCCCTTATACTCAGGGCACTGGTGATCCACTCGATTACGCTGTTTCGGATGTCGGAACATCGAAGTAACATATGTTTAAGAAAAATGTACACATTTGCGAACAAATAGTTCAGAAGACAACAGAATCGTCGATTTAATTCCTCACTTTAGTTACAGAAACGGTATTTCGAAAAACAGTTAAGATCTGCACTTTTAACCCAAACCGTTTCTGTAACTTAAGTGAAGAATTTTGTGTGAAAAAACGTCGTGGGAATTCTGCCTACAACGCGTGAAATAGGGAAAAAAGAAAAGTGGTACCTTCGACGTTCCGACATTTTGTTACCGAAACGAACCGTTTTGGTAACCGGCGTAATCGAGTGGATCACCAGTGCAGGGGAAGTAAGAACCATTTAGAAAGGGAAAAACATCGACTAGAAAGAAAATTCTTTTTACTTATTGACCAAGCAAGCTAAAGAATGAACGTTGGGAAATAATATTTCATCATTGAGTTGAATGACCGAACAATGAAAAAGAAACTTATCAGAGTGAAACTCACATGAAAAATCCCGAGCATTTATATCGCATTTCAAGTCCTACGGGTTCTTATCTAGCTAGGCAATACAATATGAACTTGACCAATGCACACTCCCTTTTGTGTAAATCGACGGCAACTTGGAAAATTTAGTAGATTGGTGAAGTACATGTTCAAAACTATATGTCTGTTCAAAGAAACCGTTTTAGATTTTCGAATATTTGATATGTCTATAATACAGGGGACAAAGCGCAAGCGCCTCGTGAAATACAGACAGAATATTTTCTGTATTTCACTCGAATCATTGAATAACTTAACTTAAAATAGTATTTGACATTCAAAACCAGAATATAATGAATAATAGAAGGAATGATACGTTTCATTGGATTACATTGATGCACGAATGCATACAATGGGCGTCATGTTACGCGGAATATGGCATACTAGGATTACTAGAGTGCTGCTAACTCGATAAAAGGCTGGCGCTGGCTAGAATTGTCTATGGTTCTAGCCAGGATAAAGATACCAGTTCTTCAACTCGGCAATGGGAAGAACTGCTCTACTTAGTGACTAATATGTCATTATATGACATCTAAAGAGTCAATAAAAGATATATATGGCATACTAGTAATTCACAAACATACGAGTTGAATAAGATACTAGAAAACGTATCTACATCGTATAACACAATGACACGCAGTGTAAATAACAGTTAGCT